TGGAAAGTAGGATGGCACAAACGAACAATTTTATCAATAACACTGTATATAATGCCTCTCTTATGACAAACAGGATGTTGGGAATGAAAATTAAAAAATCTGCCAGAAAAAGTAGCCTTTTGGTAACCATCAAAAATCATATAACAATCTTTAACAATAATATACGTGTCCAAAAAACTAATTTTACCATCATTGCCAATCTCCATAGTAAACTTTAATCTTGTGTGTAATGAATTAAAAATACTCAAAATGTCATTAATACTAGAATAGGGTAAGGTTGCCGAAATCGCACCACTTTTCATATAATGGCTTATAACTCGGAAAGTAAGAAGGATATTCTCAATTTTTTTGCGGCGTAATAAACTGCAAGCTTTTCCCTTTCAGTGATAATGGGGATCCCATAGGGGTTCCAAAAATTTGTTTATAAAGTATACCATTAAAAATAAAAACTGTTGAATTTAATATCAATCTAAATGCAATCAAGAATTCTTCCAAAGTAATCCTTGTCCCCATAGATATAGATTCCCATCTCTTAACAACACTATCCGTTGCCAAATCTATAGGTATGTTAGTGAATAATGAAACCACATCTAGTGAAACAAGTGATGAGTTAGAATCAAGTTTAATATTTTTTAATCTTTCAATTAAGTCAAAACTATTTTTTATGTAACTAGGAGCTTTGAGAATTGTATCATAAATAATTTTATGTAAAAAACATGATTATATAACGGGCTATTAACAGATGAAACTATAATTCTGAGAGGATAATTCAATTTGTGAATTTTTGTTAACCCATAAGCCCTTGGAATATTGCCGTCAGTACTAAGTAGCTTTTTATATGTAGCATCGTCAATAAACCCCTTATTCTTCCATCTACAAAGAATATTCCGTAAGTCACTAATAATTTTTCTCGTAGGATCTTTATTAATAACCTCATAAGTATTATTGTCTGAAAGCATATTTTCCATCTTATTAATGTAATCAACCTTATTAAGAGCAACAGTCACATTTCCTTTGTCCGCTTTTATTATATTATTTAATAATATATGTTATAAATATAAGATAATTTACGCAACAAATATCTAGCGTTGACTCCAAACTGCCCATTTCGTTTATGCATTTAGTTGAATAAACTTGACAGAATTATTAAGGTACAAAAAGATAGTCTTTCTCATGAATCGAAGAAGAATATTGTTTACAAAATTGTAAAAATTGCAACGCTTCTTATGTGGGACAGACTAGCCGTAAATTAAAAACGAGAATTAATGAACACAAAAACGACATTAACAAAAGGAGTGGGAATTTATCTGTTATTTCTGAACATAGGTTACAATTAGAACATGAATTTGATTGGGTTAACACAGAAATTTTGGATAATGGGAGATATTTTGGTAAAAGGTTAGTGTCTGAAATGTTGAATATCAAAATGCAAGACAACGGTTTAAATTTGAAATCAGACACGGAGTTCTTGCACCATGCTTATACGAACAAAATCAAGAAATTCTGATTGGTTTAAATATTCTGAAGCAGCTATCTACAATATGTTTCAATTCGATGACTTACGACAATTATTGTTTCCTTTCTTATTTATTTTTATTTTTCTTAATGTCGATTTCACAGTTGACTTTACGATTGACACTGCGAACGTTATGTCGTCTTGTAATTTATTTAATACTTCTTTCTTGTCAACTGAATTTATGGAATATTTTTTGTGCAGTTATGGTGTACAGTAAGTAGATCTTCATACAATTCATGTTTTCCAATGTTTTTCTCTAACGATTTTGTGTTTGATTTAGTTGTCATTCAGTCAATCAACTAATTGAGGGTTACACCCACTCTCTGGATAAGGTAATCTGTGAGATTTACTTACTGCACTCCATGGCTTGAATTTGGATCGTCTTCCTGTTAGGATTATGAACTGCAAAATGCTGAGGATGGCTTGAACATAGCCGAAACGTTCATGTAATAGATAATTTTTTAATTATATGTATATAAGTTTCGCACGAATTACTGCGTTTTTTAGGCTCTTAATTGCCCGTTATTTAGTTTTTTGTATTTTAATTAATTATCTCAAGAGTCCAATTGATTGATTTATTAATTTAAATTAATTTTTTTAATCAAGCTTTACTATAAGCACGCATTTTATTTGAAATGACTTTTATTAATGACTTTTAACATAATATATATAAAGTCACAAAGAAATTGTCATTATATTTTTTAAAAATATTATAAATACTGAGTATGCAATATTTCCTTATATTAATAAATATAACGGAAGTGTTTTTCATGTGTGTGAATAAACTTATTGTTTTTAATATATAAAATCTTTTATTTACCTCTGTGTTACTATCGCTATTGTCATTATTTGCACTGTCAAATGTTAGTTCATTATTTGTTGCCTGACGCGACGTTGTTGGTTCATTACATGCTGCCTGATGCGATGTTATTTATTGGCCGATTGCATGTTGTTTAGCTTTTATTTGTACATTTGTATTTATAATGTTGCAATTATTTTCATTACAGATAGATCTACAATAAATGTAAAATAGATGATTAAAACAATTTTGTTATATAAGAAACAGCCTGTAATAATTAAGACTTCGTCTTACTTTAATCAAATATAAAACTTACAAAGATGTATCTCGATTACCATCATTTCTTAAAATGATGCCTTTATTTCCTGATAATAATAAGGGTTCGATATTGTGTTTTCCGCTTAATAATTCTGTTAATTCTCTATAATTAACTTAAGTACATTTTATTATAACAGATATTAATCCTTTATAAATATTCAAATTGATATACTTACGTCTCGTAAGGACAACTCAATCTATTTCTTCCGGTCTTCTTATTATGCGTTACAGTATTTTTATAAGATCGTTTCAATGATTTATACTTGTTTTCTACTTGTATTGAAGAAACAATATAGCCTTGCAATGTCATTTTTTATGATATATTTTGCCACATATTTTTTTTTGTTTTAATTTTTCTCTTAGTTAGAAGATCTTTGTTTTCTTTGTACAAAGACAAGAACAATTTTGTGCTTGAATCTGTCCAACAAAATGCTTCTTTATATGTTTCTTCTCTTTCATTGATATTCGCATTATTTGATTCATTTGGTATTGCATTCTTAAGTACATTATCATGCAATTTTATTAATATTTTTTTATTATTGATGGTACAATATTGTCACAATCAAAATCTATTCCTTCATACAATATTTAAAATTCTAGTCCTTCTGCAAATATATACAATGTTATATAAATTTATATATATATATATATATATATATTTTGTTGATGCACAAAGATATCTAATTAAATCCAATATATAAATTGGTAATCATAATATATTGTAAATAATTTTTAATCTTTCATTAAATACTATTTAATTATATTCATAGACTATTATTTTAATTGCTATCTTACAAATATACTTTCCATGGATCTGAATTTCATAAATACATATTATTAAGATATCATTACTTCAAGACGGGTGGTACCCAGTTGGACACGGCTCAATTGGACACGAGCCACTCACAGCGCTTGAGACTACAAAGCTCCTAGGCACTGGTCGCTGTGATTGGTGGTGTCCAATCGAGCCATGATCAATCGGGATCACCCCCTTCATGACGATTACTTCTCAAATTATTTGTTAATATTATAATTAATTTGTTAAGAAAAAACTTTACAATATTTTATGGATAGAAAAATTATTAGTAAGATTTTGTCTTCAAATCTATGTATATATGTATATAATTATATGAATGAATAATTTCAGACTTAACACCTATAAATTCTAATAGTGACAATATATTAATTTTTATATGCTGATTTATGAAGTAGAAATTTGTGAAATATTGATCAAAATAGCTGAACAGATTATTTTACATTTGTAAACTTGCAATTAATTATAATATAAAGTTGTAATTAATTATGTTTTAATTAATGATTTTAGAAATTATTCAGCATAGACCTGTTCTCTTTAGCTGAACTTGTGACACGGTTCATCTTTCTTTCTTTTCTCTTTATGTTGAAGAAAAAAGATAAAAGATGAACCATACAAGAACTTTAGTTAAAAAGAAGGGCCCTATTCGTGAAAAGTAACGCATATGTAAAACATGTAAAACTAGGGAAATACTATAGTACACGTAGCATATACTATAGTATTTCTTTAGTTTTACGTATGTAATACTTTTCAAGAATAGGGGCCTGGGCCTCATAACTATTGTTATTAAATATTAATTTTGGATAGACAATCTTAATACCTTCAGAAACATATGTTACATATCCATCTACTACAAGAATATTTCCTGATGTATCTGTTTTATAACAGCTATTTCTTGCTTGTTTGCCAATGTTTTCTAATTAAACAAAATTATATAAAAAATAGTAAAATAGTAATATTTAAGAAAATGATTTCAAGCATTTAGAAGAAATTAAATATAAATTGAATACAAGTAAATCTAAATTGAAAACATGATATTTTGTGTAGTATTTATATATATAATAATATATATTATAATTACACTATATAGAATAAAATTTGATCCTTTTTTTGCCACATACAAATGTGAATAGTCATTTTCGATATATTTTTGTCTGCTAAATACGAATCCATTGGTAAAGTTGGCTGTCACATTGCAATTTTGAAAAAAATGGCATGAAAGGGAGTCACGTTTTTAGTTCTTTTGATGCGATTTTTCTTACAATTGTAACGTGATAACCAACTTTTTCTAACAGATTCGTGTTCAGCAGGCAAAAATACATCAGAAATGACTATTTACACGTGTGTAAATAAAATGTTCCACAATATTATTGTATTAACAAAAGATTTTCTAACCTTACAAATTTAACGTTTAATATTACGATTATACTACGTTTTGGACAGTAACTATTGATGGTTTTAATTAACATATCTCAAATGCTATGTATTAAAATATAATTAATATATTAGTCTTTTTCGTTTAAGAGAACTACTATTATATGCTTACTGTTTAATGTCTTAGAAATGCTTACTTTTCTGGAGACACGGCGATTTGATTTTACCGGCTATTTCCGTTTGCACTGTACTGCTTGAACTGACTCAAGACCTAGTGCAGCCAGTTCAGTGAACCTTTGCACTAATAGCGTTTTCGATTGGGCAAAAGTTAGTGCGCACCAGTGCGCACTCAGTTCACACCAATTTGACGACTATGGAGGTTAGGAAATCTGTTATACCGACTATGTGTAATAAATTAAACGTACGTAGTAGTGCTTAGACAGTCTTCTTCTTCTTCAAAGTCAATGGCACTCGCCGCAGAAATGGCGACGATTCCGGCCAAAATCGTAAAATATAATACGGGACGAAATAATAATATAATAAAAAAAAAAAATAGTGTAATCAAGATATAACAGAATGGAACGAAAAAATGTTGTAATCTAGACAAATGGTATAACACAATGCACAGTCGAAGCCGGAAACGCTTTTCAAAAAATAAATGAGATGATGCAACACCCGAAGCGGGCGCGGCGCACGTCCGTCCCGCTCGAGTGGTCTCACGAGACTTGGGAAATGGCTCTCAGTTGAATGTCTTGAAATTGGAGTAAATGATAGTTCAGATCATGTAGATCAAAAGTGTCAATGGGCCCAAAGTCTCAAAATGGATAGTTTTCGAAGTTACACTGCATTCTGCAATAAAGAACAGTGTCGTCGACACTAGTTCTGTAATAAAGAACGCTTTAGTGTACACTTCTTACACTAGTTCTGAAAGTTCAGCAATAAAAAACAAACCTGTAGTGAGTCTAGTGAATTCGTGTGAAAAAAGCATATACAGAACCTAAAAATCGAACATGGGCAGGATAGCTACCAACAAAGCGCACAAGCATTTTACTTACAATAAAGTAATGAATACTTCGGTCTGTACTATCTGCAAGACATCGATAACGGTAAGTACAAAATTTATAATGATGTGTGCGAACTTTTCAGTAAGAAACAATCAAGGTTATGGAATATGGACACACATTTATGTAGAGACAAAAGCGTGTCATGGGCTGTATTCATTTTGGACGCTCACGAAAGTGTGCACTATAAATTTAGGTACAGTCACTGACTTCATTTTCACAATATGTGGTTAAGGCCGCAACACACACTTTTGCATAAGTCCGGATCTACAATAGGGTTTTATGCCTTATACCGTAAGAAACTGACCAATTACAGTCGAATCCGAGAAGAATAAGCGACTGTGATTCGCCCATTTCTTATGGCTTAAGGCTTAAAACTTTATTGTAGATCCGGGGTAACGCATCGGCATAATACATATGCATAAGAAATTTGATTGGTCCATTTCCTTATGTATACGCATACATAAGAAAATGGACCAATCAAATTTCTTATGCATATGTATTATGGGTTATGCAAAGATATGTGCTCCCCGCTTTAGAATGCAATACGTACATGGATCCATAAACAAGAACTAATCGCTTGGTGAACAGACTGCATTCAAAAACCCATCGAAAAAAAGTGTTGCAACCTTTAAGTCAGTGCTTGTCACAGAAATCAGATCCCTTGTTGATGTTGATCGTATTTCGAATGAACATTTATAGCACAGTTGCAACTTACAAGAAAAATTTATTGTAGAATATACTTCAAATTATGTACACATTTGTACATAATTTGACACACGCACATGCGTTTTGCGCTCCTTTATGAATGACTTCTGAGTCTTGATCCCGCTGCTTTACTGCGCAATTTCGAATATACGAAAATGTTAATATAAGATTAACTAACAAAAATTAAGAACAATATCGTATTAATAAAATATTGCATTCATAGCATATCCACTACTACGCGATTTAAAAATTTTAAAATTTGAAGAATGTATGATAAAAGTAAAAAGATATTTGTTATTTAGAAACGTATCTTTTTCAGATTCTGAACCGAATTAGAAATAAGTATATTTTATTTCCGCATAACAAAATATTAAAACTTTGTTTTAGGAATGAGATGTGCAGCCCACATCTTGCAACTGGTCGTGGATGATGCCTTAAAAAACGCTGCTAAAGATATTTTATCCTTAATAAGTGAAGTTCGAAGGCTCGTGAAGAAATTGAGAACGCTAACTTTTTTATACATGCTCAAAAAACAAAATTTGAGGAAGCCAATAATTGACTGCCCAACACGTTGGTGCTCGACAGTAGTTATGCTCGAAAAATTATTATTGCTAAAGGATTATTGCACAGAACTGGCTGTAACAAAATTCGAGAAATTCGAAACACTAACCGATTCAAAATGGGCAAAAATTGAAGAGGTGTGCCGAACTGGGGTTGTTAAAAAAACGTTTTTTTTATTTTAAACAAAAAACATTGTTTTTTTTTATTTGGCACAATGTTTTCTGTTTTATTTTGTGTTTTTTTAAGCAACAAAAAAAACATGTTTTAAACAAGAAAAAACATGTTTTGTTTTGTTTAAAATGTTTTTTTTGTTGCTTAAACAAGTAAAAATTATTGTGTGAATATTTGAATCTTTCGTCATT